GCCAAGGTTGGAAAGGACAACAGTGGATACGAAGACGTCATGGGACAACATGGACTGGGAGAAAGGAACGGAAATGGCGAGAGATTTGCAAACCTATGTGCCTTCAATAAACTGGTCATAGGTGGCACCATATTTCCACACAAAAACATACACAAAGCCACTTGGATTTCACCGGATCACACTACACAGAATCAAATCGACCATATCTGCATCAACAAAAAGTTCAGGAGGACGATGGAGGATGTGAGAACCAGAAGAGGAGCTGATATAGCATCCGATCATCATTTGCTGGTCGCCAAGATCAAACTAAAACTCAAGAAGCACTGGACAACGGTGCGGACAACATCACAAAAGTTTAATACGGCCTTTCTTCGAGATGCTGATAAACTCAACAAATTCAACATAGCCCTCAGCAACAGGTTCCAGGCCTTTCATGATCTACTCAATGGAGAGGGGACTACCATGGAGAGCAACTGGAAAGGTATCAAGGAGGCAATCGTTTCAACATGTCAGGAGGTTCTGGGCCACAAGAAGCACCATCACAAGGAATGGATAACTGTTGGTACACTGGATAAGATTGAAGCAAGGAGGAACAAGAAGGCAGCAATCAATATCAGCCGAACCAGAGCGGAAAAAGCCAAGGCACAAGCCGAATACACAGAGGCAAGCAAACAAGTGAAGAGGAGCATCAGAACCGACAAACGTAAATATGTGGAAGATTTAGCGATGACAGCGGAAAAGGCTGCAAGAGAGGGAAACATGAGACAACTGTATGATACAACAAAGAAACTTGCTGGAAATTACCGTAAACCAGAAAGACCAGTAAAAAGCAAGGAAGGCAAAGTAATCACCTACATTGATAAACAACGCAACAGGTGGGTAGAACACTTCAAAGAACTCTTAAATCGACCAGCTCCACTGAACCCACCCAACATCGAAGCAGCACCCACGGACCTCCCAATCGATGTTGGCCCACCAACAATTGAAGAGATCAGCATGACCATTAGACAAATCGAGAGCAGCAAAGCAGCGGGACCAGACAACATCCCGGCAGAGGCACTGAAAGCAAATGTAGCAGCAATATATGGTAAACATGGAAAGAGTACACACATACATCATACCAAAAAAGTAGTATATAGGAATTACTCAGAAGAAAATTTACAAAATCTGAAAAACATGTTTCGTACGACCAGCTGGGAAGTACTTACAGATGACTCAATAGAAAACACAACGGATGTTATCACCTCTTATCTTAAATTCTGTTTTGATATTTGCTGTCCTACCGAAACCTTCTTTTTAAGTTTTGATCGACTTACATCTCCAGGACTAAAACGACTACGGAGGGTAAAAGAAAGGATGTACAAGGAGAAAAACACTATTGAAGTTCGTAAGTTAAATGATCAAATAAACCAAGAGATTAGACGTCTCAACTGTGTGTTCACTCAAAATCTCCTATATTGTAGAAGCTCTCCAAGTATGTGGAAACTCTTTAAAGAAATTACAGGGGACAGGCAGACTAGAAGCGATAACCAGCTAAATGTTTGTGACTTAAATAAGTCCTTTATTCATCAGTCATCTGACATCATGCTCCCTATATCCAAGGGTTTGAAGAAGAATTGTGTTCCCAGTTTCACTGAAAATGATGTCCGGAAATGTCTCTAGTCTCTGAATTCATCCCAATGTTTAGGACCTGATGGTATCCCAAACCTCCTTTTTAAAAAATGTGCTGATGTTTTATGTTATCCATTAACGAATATCTTCAACAGATCCTTCTCAACTAATGTCTTACCGAAAATGTGGAGAAAGATAAAGGTAATCCCTATACCTAAGAAAACTCCTGGTGATAAAAATGCGATACTTAGACCCATAGCAATAACCTCACCTTTCCTCAAAATAATGGAAAAATTACTGATACAACCACTTCAACCTGTAATAAAAGAGCACTGTGATCCATATTAGTTTGCTTACAAATGCAAAAGAAGCACATTAGATGCCGTTGCTGTTCTGCATCACAATATAGTGTTCGGGTTGGAAAAGGGTAAGAAGTATGTTAGATGCGCTTTCCTGGACTTTACTTCTGCTTTTGATTCTATTCCAAGACACCTCTTACTTAACAAGCTGATCAGCGTCGATACTGACAGCTGGATAACCAATTGGCTATGTTCCTACCTTTCTGGAAGAGAACAGTACACTGTCTTTGAAGGAAAGTGTTCAACATCTCTACTGTCTACTGTAGGTGTGCCACAAGGAGCTGTTCTTTCACCTCTGCTCTTCTCTTTCTTTTTGCATGATCTGCCATCTTCCACAGAAAACACTTTTGTAAAATATGCGGACGACCTCAGTGTATGTATGCCAATTTCTACCTCCTTACACCCTATAGAAATGAATGAGTTTTTATTTCGTATTGAAAGGTGGTCTGTTGGTAATGGTCTCTTACTCAATCCATCTAAATGTCAAGCTGTTAACTTTAGCTTGAGACATGGACAGAACCTATACTCTATGTTGGGATCCCATAATGCTTGTGCCATTGGAGACTCCTTAATAAACACAGTGTCGAAGGTCAAATATCTTGGTGTTACTTTTTCCTCTGATCTTTCTTGGTCTTCTCATGTTTTACTGTTATCGAAAAAAGTTTACCGTTTGACATACTACATAAAGAGGCTGCATGCTTTTGGGATTACTCGCCATTTACTCTTACAATTTGTAAATTCCTGCATATTACCTATTATTTTATATTGTTCTCCATTATTCTTCCCCGGGCTTTTGAGAAAAGACTTTGCTATTTTGCGTAGAGTGCTGAAGGCAGTTTGCAATGTATGTGGTGAATCTTTTGAAGTCATTGTTAATATGTTTGTGGATAGACATCTTAAATCTTGCAAACTCTTGGCAGGTGTTATCTTATCAGATACTAACCATCCTCTTCATTCATATCTTTCTCCTTGTATATCTTCTGGTAGAACGAGACGTAAATACATTAAAATCCATGCACGCAAGCAAATCTATAAAAGTTCTGTAATACCTTACCTTGCAAATTTACTTTGTGACGAACAGGCTGTTAGAGTTGACCTAGTAAATAACCTGTCTTCTTAAGCATGTCTCATATTCGATAATTTGTATAAACTCAGATTTTCCTGAACCTTTTTTTAAATTTTATTTCTGTTGTTTTTTTTGTTTGTTTTTTTGGTAAAAACTTGTTGAAATAACTCGTGCTTAGAATTCTATATTGTACCAGATTATAATATTGAATAAAGCCAATAATAATAATAATAACTGCCAAGATACTCCACATCCTCTTCAGTAAGATTTGGGACGAAGAACAAGTACCAACAGACTGGAAAAAAGGACTTCTGATCAAAATACAAAAGAAAGGTGATCTTAGCAAGTGCGACAACTACAGGGGCATCACTCTCCTCTCAATACCAGGGAAAATCTTCAACAGGGTATTGTTAAACAGGATGAAGGATTCCGTGGACGCCCAACTTCAAGATCAACAAGCTGGATTTCGTAAGGATAGATCATGCACAGATCAAATCGCAACTCTACGTATCATTGTGGAATAGTCAGTCGAATGGAATTCATCACTCTACATCAACTTCATCGACTACGAGAAGGCATTTGATAGTGTGGACAGGACGACACTATGGAGGCTTCTTCGACACTACGGCGTGCCTGAGAAAATAGTCAATATCATACGGAACTCCTATGATGGACTAAACTGCCAAATCGTCCACGGAGGACAACTCACCGACTCGTTTGAAGTAAAGACTGGTGTTAGGCAAGGTTGCTTACTCTCACCGTTTCTCTTTCTCCTGGTAATCGACTGGATTATGAAGACGTCAACGACTGGAGGAAAGCACAGGATACAGTGGACAGACAGGATGCAACTTGACGATCTAGACTTCGCAGATGATCTGACTCTTCTATCACAAACGCAACAACAAATGCAGGAGAAAACGACCAGTGTAGCAGCAGCCTCAGCAGCAGTAGGTCTCAATATAAACAAAGGGAAAAGCAAGTCTCTCCGATACAACACAATATGCACCAATCAAATTACACTTGACGGAGAAGCTTTGAAGGATGTGAAAACCTTTACATATCTGGGCAGCATCATTGATGAACACGGCGGATCAGATGCAGATGTGAGTGCGAGGATCGGCAAAGCAAGAACAGCATACTTACAACTGAAAAACATCTGGAGCTCAAAACAATTGTCAACCAACACCAAGGTTAGAATTTTCAATACAAATGTCAAGACAGTTCTACTGTATGGGGCGGAGACGTGGAGAACTACAAAAGCCATTATCCAGAAGATACAAGTGTTTATCAACAGCTGTCTACGCAAAATACTTCGGATCCGATGGCCAGACACTATCAGCAACAAGTTACTGTGGGAGACAACAAACCAGATTCCAGCAGAGGAAGAAATCAGGAAGAAGCGTTGGAAGTCGATTGGAAACACTTTGAGGAAATCACCCGATTGCGTCACAAGACAAGCCCTCACATGGAATCCTGGAGGTCAAAGGAGAAAAGGAAGACCAAAGAACACATTACGCCGAGAAATAGAGACAGACATGAGAAGAATGAACAAGAACTGGATAGAACTAGAAAAGAAGGCCCAGGACAGAGTGGGTTGGAGAATGCTGGTCGGCGGCCTATGCTCCATTGGGAGTAACAGGCGAAAGTAAGTAAGTAAAGTAATGAAAAGGATGAATAGCAACTGGAAAGAATTGCTCAGGACAGAGTTGGATGGAGAATGCTGGTGAGCGGCCTATGCTCCTCGACGAGGAGTAACAGGCGTAAGTAAGTAAGAATAATTAAATGAGTTACTTAATTATTTTGACATAATAATGATGAATGTATATTGTATCATTAGCATTGACCCTAGTGTTATTAACATCCCATCAATTTTAGTGTATTATGTAATGTCTATCATATTGCAGTTAGCGGTAATAACGGGGAATTCCGTTCTCTGGTTTGTTTTTTGTTTACATTTCGCATAGATATCTGGTTTCGTAATTTTTGGAAATGGACACATTTCTCTAACTATTTATTATTCCTATGTTTATTTACACTGATTTCTGGTCTGTGCACTTACTTATTGTCATCGAGTCAAATCTATGTTCAATTATTGGGGTTTACTGCCTTGTTTATTGAATCGATGTTGGGTTTACCACAATTTACAAAGAATTTTTATAATAAGTCGATTGTTGGAATGAGGTAAGTGTTTAGTCGTTTGATTTGAAAGTTTTCATACTTGAAATGTTCCAAAGTTAGACATGTACACCATTGGATGCCGGCTCACTATTCTAGTGGTTAAGCGTTTGCATGCGAACTCGAAGGTCCTGGACTTGACTCTTGGATTATTTATTATTTATTTAAACACATAAATATTGGTACAAGGAAGCACCAGGTAAATATGCGCCTCACAAATCTCATTCGATTTGTGTGAGGGCTGTCATACTGCCCAGGTGCCCAGACTGAAGCAGGTGGTTTTCTTAGGGGGCCACACCCCGAGCCTTTGACAGAAAGATCTGATTCACAAGGCAGTGGAGCATCGTGAGGAGATGCAATCCCATGGTAGCCGGTGATCAATGATTGATTCGTATGCCATTTGTTCCCTCAGGATACTGGAGCCCATGTGCACCATTGGTTTGGAATCAGGATTTTCCAACTCCCCTAGGTGGATCCTCCACATCCACCAACCCGGTTAAAGCGCCGGACATTCGCTTTTCGTCCTCTCTATTTCGTAGGCAACACCCCCTCCACGAGAAGGCAGTGAGTAGGACTTCCCTGGCAGAGGCAGAGCATTTCGAGAGGGAGAGTGGACTCTCCCCACTCTCGGCCGTACCAGGGCATTTGGGGGCTCCTGGATACAGAGACTTGTATGTACGCTCTTGAAAAGTTTCACACTTGGACTAAATGGCTGCTCATTGCTTCCAGGTTTTCAATGGTGGTCTGTGTAAGATTCAAAACTGTTTTGATTCTACAGTCTTCCCGCTTTTCTAATAATATTTCAAAAAGTTCAGTTTTCTCAGTACTCAATTTTGTTTGAGTTAGAATTTAGTTTTTGATGTGATCAACGGTTGCAACTTTGCATGTTGATGAAAATTTATGTAGTAGATTTCGTAAATCTCATCAACATGTCAATAATCCACTTGTTCTGTGTTCAAGTCAAAGCAGATATATCTCCATAGTCCTCAAAAATCTATATTGATATTTTCTGTTACAAGTTTGTATAATGCAAGGTGGTACAACACATAGATGTTGAATTCTAATGTAAATTCGTTCATTTTTTTCGAAGAGACTAATAAAAAGTGTTTATCTATTTTTATTTACATTACTGAGTTGTGGACTCAAATCCGCTTCACACACTTCAGTTCAAGCAATCGGATAGCACAATTTGCTGTCAAACAAATAGTACATCACAAAATCTGGGTAAGCGGACTTGCAATTCGTTGCTGAGTTGCATTAAAGAGGATTCGAAGTTCTCACTGACATTTATTATTGTACAAACCTTTTGATGAACCATCCAAGACTGTTTGAGCCAAAGACAAACAGAGATAATATATTGAATCCTTAAAAATTAGATTAAATAATAATAAATAGAGCCTACTTACTACAGTTCCTTGAGTTGTAGCTTTTGGATTGGAGTAAAGTCCGGTAAACTTTATGGGTCAGTTTCGGTGGTTTCATTACTATATTAATCTAGGTGGAGTTCAAACAAACAAGGGAAATGGAACCAACCTTGATACTGAGGATAAAATGATGATTGATCTTTGGATCAATGAATGAAATTGGGATGGTGAAAGATATAACTGGGTACTTATTTAACTGACAATGTCCCTTTACCTTTATAGAGTATTCTCGTTTCGTTTGAACGTATGCTCCATTTGATCAGTTTATCCTGAATGTTTAGTTTTAGGAGCTCTACTTGTATGAATATATGCCACACACATATCTTGCCCTCGTGAATGTAATGTTAGCACTGCAAAAAGTAAATTATGGTAAATATTGTTTTCATTTCTTGAAAAATATCAACCGATTAGTTGTTCGGGATGCAGATGATCCAGATATCAAAATTAATTATCTGTTTATAGTACAGAGCACTCAGCCACATATAACCCTGATCTTTTACGACTGTCTTATTTAAACATAAGAGAGTTCATTTCTTGATTATCGATAAATTAATATTTAAAATTAGTTTTTATAAATCTCATTCAATTTTGAATGTTTCACCAGTACTTCTAACTTGTCAAAGAATCAATATGAATTCTGATAGCTTTTGGCATTTCTCGAACTATCTTGTGGAGCTGTACAACTATTGTGAAATTTCCTTAGGATGTATATATATATATATATATATACCGATCAATTACAATTTAATGCAGTGATATCGAACTCTAGAAATATACTGTTTAGCTAATTAAATTTTAACCATACTGTCCTAGTTTAAGTACTTTTCTTTTTCAAGTCTCATTCATTAAAGTTTGTCTTTTAAGTTGCACTTTGTCGTTATTGTTGATTTTGTTTGGTTGCTTTTTACATTAAGTAAAAAAATATCCTTTTTTAATGGACTAATTTTGTTCCAACTTGTTTGTTCTATTGATTATATTAGCAACTCGTTGAATTAGAATTGTGTGAAATTTAATTGATTTTTAATGCTATCAAGTTGATCACGTTTAAATGTATGCGGATTTAATTATTTGAAGGTAATTTTCGTCACGAAGGCTCAATTTCGTGGATTGGTTGAAGTTAGACATTAACAACGTTGGATGCTGGCTCAGTGGCCTAGAGGTTAAGCGCACGCGCGCAAGACCGATAGGACCTGAGTTCGGATCTCGCGAGGTGGGATCGTGGATGCGCACTGCTGAGGAGTTCCATAATAGGACGAAACGGTCGTCCGGTGCTTCCAGGTTTTCCATGCTTGTCTAACTCATGATCTCAATTATTAAAATAGTCAGTTTAGTTAGGAAAAATACAACCAGAAAGAATTCCAGTTAAAGAAGTTACTCTCTCTTTTATGAAGAAAGCAAAAAAAAAGTTACAACAGGATCGCTACTGTCTTCTATCCTGAGCCTTGTCTGATAACACTGTGTTGCACCCCAACCAGGGAGTCGTGAAGGGCCAACAGTCCTGTACATCATTCTTCCATACCACGACACTATGTCATACACTGGACATCTCTCCGCTTTTCCCAACGAGTCCCAGAATCGGCAAACCGTGAATGATGTGGAATTATCTGGGACAGCATTCGTAGGACATTACCAAGTCACTAAAGTTGGTGTCTCTAGATAAAAACACCAATTGAAGTATCGTCACTCTGTCCTGACACATTTTGCAAAACTGTATTGCTAACTTAGTGTTGCCACTGGATGTCAGCAATTCTTCGGAGATAACGATGAGCAAACACAGAGAGTCGTCTAACATCATCAACTTTGAGAGGTTAGGTTTCACAAGCATAGAGGAAAACTGCTCTCACCGACGCGTTGCGGATCCAACTTTTTACAGACATACTAACATCATAAAGACTCCAAAGATGGTCCACATTGGCATAAGCCGCTCTGGCTTTCACTATACGTGAGTTGATCTCATCATTGACGCCACTACCAGCACTTACGCAGATACCCAGATACACGAACTTCTCGACTAATTCTATTTGCTCATTATCCAGGGTGAGTGCAAGTTCAGGGTCCTGTCAGTCTTCTAAAAGTACTTCTTTCTTTGAAGATGCAAAGCACATACCATACCTTTGGACACTAATTGCCAACTGACTAAGTGCGGATTGTATGACTTGGGCATCATCACACAGTAAGACAATGTCATTCGCATACTGAAGGTCGAAAAGTCTTTCTCCAGACAACAGACCCACACCACCATTACCTACATTCATCAGAGCTGTTTCCAGAACGCCATCAATGGTAAATTTTGAGAGGAATGGTGAGATCCGGAAACCGTGCCTAACCCGAATGCTTGAATGAGCAATGGAGAGAAGTGGTTGTGTGCCCTCACTCTGTTTGAGGTGTTTGTATATAGGGCTTTTAGGATGTTAATAAACTCCTCAGGCACACCCTTCTTCAATAGGCAATTCCAGAGAATAGTTCTATCCAACGAATCGAAGACAGCCCTAATGTCAGGCAACAATACAATTGTTGGCTTGTAATAAGTATGACGATGTTCTAACATTTGACGGAGGCTGAAGGTTTGGTCGATACATTCATGACCAGAAAAAAATCGACCTGCTCTTCGCGAGTTAACACTAGTACTAGCGAAATCAGACGAAGATGCCTTTGGGTTTCCTGATTAGCGCATACGAAACAAGCCTTTCGAAGAGGCAGATGGAGAGCGAATTTGTAGTGCTTCACTGGAGTCTCGGATAAACAACAGATATCAATGTTGAGACTTTCTAAAGACATAGCTAACTCTGTTGTTCGATCGGCATTAGTGTGCGAACGTTGAAAGAAGCAAGCTTGAGTGGTATTTATTATTTCAGAGAGACTTTCAGTATTCGTAGTTGGTGTTAGAATTCAACTTCTGACCAGTTAGTGACTTGAGGTTGTTTAGATAGGATAGGTTTTCCACCATATGAGAGTTGTTTTTTAAGTTGAACAATAAAAGAATACGGGAAATGAGAATAAAAAAGAGTAGACCTAAAGGTCTAATCCACGAAGCAGTGGATCAGCGTTAGAAGATTTAGTCATGTAGCCGGTGGCCAACGGCAGGTTCATGCGCATTTTATTTCCTCAGGATCTTGGAGCACATTTGTACCATTGGTTTGGGATCAAGGTTTTCCAATTCCTCTAGGTAGATCCTCCGTATCCACTAAATCGATAAAGCACCAGAAATTCGCTTTTCGTTTTCTCAATTTCGTAAACAACATCGCTGAGAAAAGGCAGTGAATAGGACTTCCCTGTCAGTGGCTGTATATGCGTGGCTATGTGAAAAAATTTCAAGAGGTGGAGACGACTATCCACACCCTGGATCCTATCAGACTATTTGGAAGCAGACTAAATTATACAACAATAATGAATTAATATTCACCTGTCAACTTACTAATAATAAGGTTTATTGTTGATTCAAATTAGTTTGATAGTTCAAGACTAAGTAATAAATTGTACGGTTATAAAGTCAATTTTAGTTCAGTGTAATTCCTTGTGGCAAGGATAGTTTTTAATGTAATATTTCAGAATTTACGTAATCGCCAGTCGGTTTTTGTATAGGTATTGCATGCTACTGAAGTAATGTGATCATTTTATTTCTAGAGTTGTGTATTAATGATTGTAAAACATGTTAGAATAATGTAGAACTTGCATATCATTATCAGATCTACAAAGTTGAAATCTGGGAATTTTTAGTAATCAAACTGTTGGTCGTGATTTTTTTATATACGTTAGTCTCAAGTAGGATGGGTGATTTAGTCGCATATCATATATCGGGTTCTCGAAGGTTTCCATTTTTGAAGGTTAGAGATCTTGTTCCATCAAATCTTTAAAAAACGATTACTTTTCATTTGTGACTCAACAAATTGTCTTACATTTAATATGAATTCAAATTGATATCATTATATTTCATTCTTTCTGTCATTTTCAGTATTTCAATGGTGTTAATGTGGACTTCAGGTGATATATTCAAAACAATTTATTTCATACTAGAAAATGCTCCATTACAATTTCTTATGTGTGGTTTATTACAAATTGGATTAGATTTAGCTATTCTTCTACAATGTTTGTGTTATAGAGGTGAAGGATTTACGTGATGTCAATGTTACAATTGATTGAGTCAACATGGATAGCGAAGACAATAATGATAATGATGCCAATTTGTATGTCATTGTGAACAGTAAAATTACTTTTCTTGTTTAGCTTATTTGGAATATTTATTATTTTGTACTTCCATTGTAGGGAGATCTTTTCTATGCCCATCGGTTTCACGTACCAATATTCTTTTTATTTTCAGATCTCATCTAGGTGACCTTATATATTTGTTTAATGTTTGTTATTGTTCACTTTTGTATTTTCTCTTCAATCCCTATGTATTTCGGCTTAAAGTCAACTTGAAGCGATTACTATAACCCTCTGATTATGTTATTTTTGTCAGATTGTTCGATCTACCATATGTGGTAATGAATGGACGAGTTTATAAACAGTTAATAAATTTATCTCTTTAAGATCGACATTCTTCGGTGTCACTAATTAAATCAGCTCTTCTGTAGTATACACATTGAACAGCCGTTATTTATTTACAATGATCATTCATTGAAGTCGATAACTGATGAGTTTTTTTCTGATTAGATGAAATCTGTAAATTTAAAGTGTAATTCTTATCGCAAGGCTTGAATGTTTAGATGATTAGTAAAAAATTAATTAAGTCTGATATTTGGGTCAGAATTTCATCGTCAGTTGAGTGACCTGTGAGATCTGTATCATTCAGTAGATTATCTTTAAATCATGTTTACTCTTTTGTTCAACATTTTGTATGTAAGGATTTTATGTCATCAATTTTAACCATTTGAACTTCGTCCACCATTTATAATTGATCCTGATTCATTCTCATATGCAGCTATGGTTATACGATGATAAAAAGCCTTGAACCAAGATTAGACAGGTGTCTAAACGTTATCTCTTAATTTTCAATATTTCTCCAGCTGTGATATCAGTTCATGATGATAAGGTGATCATTTTGTCTACCCAAAAACTAATTGTTAAGTTAGGACAATCATTACTGTTAAGTGATTTATTTGTGGGTGTCTGTGTAGTTAGATTAAACCTCTATATTCATATCAATTTAATCAATTATTGGTCATTTCTGACTAAAATACAATTTTAAATCAACAATTCCTTCTGGTTTCTTCATTGAATATGTACTGTTTGTGGAAAACAGTTGTTATTATGATTACTGCTTAAGAATTGAATGACTAGTTCATCCACTTAACCAGAGATTATTGACCGTTTATGTCATTTAACTAATCACAGATTATATGAATTGCAAGTTATAAATTATTCGACGGATTAAACTTCGTGAATAGTTTGTCTCTTTTTATTGTTAATCTGAATTCGACAAGCCTCGAAAGCGTTCATTAGCGATTGAGTAAAGGAGCAGTTTATGTTTGTAATTCAGTTATTGATATAGATTGTCCGTGGTATGTGGGTAGAAATCCTTTTCAAAGTAAGTAGATGTAATAAAATGAATTTTTTGTTTTGATTCGCTTTTAACTTCGATTAAACCTTGTAATACAGCAGTACACAGATTGTGGTTAGGATGAATCCAGTCAGTTAGTGCTATTTCGGCTCTGGCTTCAGATGGAATATTGAAAGAATGAATGTAAACTTTATTGTTTTTTTTAATTTATGTGTGTGAAACCTGGCT